TTCTTCTTCTTCTTCTTCTTCTTCTTCTTCTTCTTCTTCTTCTTCTTTTTTGCAGTATCTTTTTTTTTAACCACAGTTTAAAAAAACAAAAACAAAAACAAAAACAACCCAACAAAACAAAACAAAAACAAAAACAACCCAAAACCAAACCAGAACAAAAAAGCCACCCCCCGCCCCAAACAAAAATAAAACAAAAATCCAAAAACGAAACAAAACAAAAAAAGCACAATCTTTGGAACAAAAGAATTAAAGGCAGAAATTTAAAGGAAAATACATATTCAAAGAACATAGTGAGGTATAAAAAAGTATTCTCTCTTTTTTGTTTGTTTGTTTTCCTCTTCATCTTGCTATAGAGTCCTCTACTAGTAAATATTGCAATAGCCAGGCCTCATGAACTGGGGGCTGTCCCATTTGCAGGGGTCTCACGTCACTTCAGTAGGGGGCAAATCGGCTGTAGCCACCTCGGTACAAACTCGCCACAGCGCCAACTCCATAACTGGCGGCAGGGGCGAGGGCGTGGTAGGGGTCGCTGTAAGCGGCTGCAGCGGCGGCAGCAGCTGTGGCTGCGGTTGCAGTAGCAGGCTGTGCATATCTGTAGGCTGCATATCCACCCCCTGGATAGGCCGGGATGGCTGTTGGAGGCGCCGCTCGAACTGCACCATACACTGTCCGCCCTCGGCCCCTCAGATGGGCTCCTCTGAAAGCGGCTGCCGTGGTGGCTGCAGTTGGGTAAGGGAAGCCAGGAACTAAAGGGAGACTGATTAGACGAATGTAAGTGTTGATGCCTCCTCTTCCTGACAAGGGCACAGCCACCTCATTGCCTAGGGACACATCAGCTTGAAAGCTGGATGCTGCATATAACTCAGAGCCATACACAGCTCCAACTACTGGGCTTAACTTCCAGCCATTTGCATATGGCGTGACCATCTTCTTGTTGGTCATGACTCGCGCTGTAGCATTATTCACCTCGATTTTACGGCCCTCTACCACGGTGCCGTGCAATTTCTCCCTGGCCCTGTCTGCATCAGCACTGTTCTCGAAAGTTACGAACCCGAATCCCTTGGAGCTGCGCTCATTAAAGATTATTTCCACATGTAGGATTTTGCCAAACTGCCCAAACATCTGCCGGAGATCAGGGTCCCGGAAGCGGAAGGGAATATTAGAGACATGGAGTCGCTTGGGTGTGGATTTACTCTCTGAATTTTCACTACTTTGTGTCTGTGACTGCTGTCCATCTGTCTGTGCTCCACCTTCTGTCTGAGTGAGAGATCCATTCTGGTTGCTGGGTGAATTGCTACTCTGCTCCCCGTGGGGCTGCGTACTCCCGTAGAGTGTCAGGTTATGTTCACTGGTCTGACCGGCATAGTCCTGAGTGTGGGGCACTCCGTATTCTGTGGGAATTCCGTTCTGTGGAGGTGGTGGGAACGGGATGGTGGTAAAAGGCTGAACCATTGCGTCAGGAGTTGTTGTTGGCTCCTGGTTACCCTGGCCGTCCCGTGCTGGGAATCCATGATAACCCGGGGTCAGTGGCTCGTTCTGCATCCCGCCATCGGCCGCCTCCTCGGTGCGCGGCTGCTTGCTCAGGCCGGGCTCGGGCCCGCCTGCTCCCGCTCAGGGCACCGGCAGCTCCAGCTCCGACTCCCGCTTCATGCCCCGGGCGGCGGCGCCGGGCCGAGCTGTAGCGGCTGCTGCTGCGGCTGGCCACCTTCCGCCATCCGCTCGCGCCCCCTTCGCGGGAGCCGGGCAACCCGCGACAGGCCACCTCCCCTGGGAGGTCGCGACTGTCGCGACAAGCGGGCCTTGTTTATCTTCTTTAGGTGTACAAATTTTAGTATGTTTACCCTCTCTTATAGGTCTATATAAGTGAGTATATACCATGTGTGTCTTTCTGCTCCTGGGATACCTCACTCAGGATGATCTTTTCTAGATCCCACCATTAGCCTGCAAAATTCATGATTTCCTTGTTTTTAATTGCTGAGTAGTATTCCATTGTGTAAAAGTGAGACTTTGACCTCTTCCTTTCCAATTTATATCCCTTTGATCCCCTTTACTTGTCTTATTGCTCTAGCTAGGACTTCAAGTACTATGTTGAAGAGATATGGAGAGAGTGGGCAGCTGTGCCTTGTCCTTGATTTTAGTGGGATTGATTTAAGTTTCTCTCCATTGAGTTTGATGTTGGCTATAGATTTTCTGTATATTGCCTATGTTTAGGTATATGCCATGTATCCCTGATCTCTCCAAGACTTTAAACATGAATGGGTGTTGGACTTTGTCCAATGCTTTTTCAGCATCTAAGGAGATTATCATGTGGTTTTTCTCCTTCAGTTTGTTTATATGGTGGATGACATTGATGGATTTTTGTATATTGAACCATCCTTGCATGCCTGGGATGAAGCCTACTTGGTCATGGTGAATGATATCGTTTATGTGTTCTTGGATTCAGTTTGCAAATATTTTATTGAGTATTTTTGCATCAGTGTTCATAAGAGAGATAGGTCTGAAGTTCTCTTTTTTTGTTGTTTGGTCTTTGTGTGGTTTAGGTATCAGGGTGACTGTGGCTTCATAGAATGAGTTTGGTAAAGTTCCTTCTGTTGCTATTTTGTGGAATAGTTTGAAGAGAATTGGAATTAGCACTTCTTTGAAGGTCTGGTAGAATTCTGTGCCGAAACCATGTGGTCCAGGGCTTTTTTGGGAAGGAAGACTGTTGACTGTTTCGATTTCCTTGGGGGATATAGGGATATTCAATCTTTCTACCTGATGTTGATTTAATTTTGGTAGATGGAATCTATCAAGAAAAATTTCCATTTCTTTTAGATTTTCAAATTTTGTGGCATATAGGCTTTTGTAGTATGACCTAATGATTGTTCGGATTTCCTCAGTGTCTATAATTATGTCACCCTTTTCATTTCTGATTTTGCTGATTTGGATAGTTTCTCTCTGCCTTTTAGTTAGTTTGGCTAAGGGTTTGTCTATCTTGTTGAATTTTCTCAAAGAACCAGCTCTTGGTTTCATTGATTCTTTGAATAGTTTTATTTGTTTCTAATTGATTGATTTCAGCTCTGAGTTTGATTATTTCCAGCCATCTGTTGCTCTTGGGTGTATCTGCTTCTTCTTTTTTTTTCCTAAGGCTTTCAGTTGGACCATTAAGTTGTTTGTATGAGATGTTACAAATTCCTTCTTGAAGGCACTTAGTGCTATGAATTTTCCTCTGAGCACTGCTTTCCTTGTGTCCCATAAATCAGGGTATGTTGTCCCTTAATTTTCATTGAATTCTAGGAAATCTTTAATTTCTTTCTTTATTTCTTCCTTAACTCAGCTGTCATTGAATAGCAAGTTGTTCAGTTTCCATGTGTGTGTAGGCTTTATGTTATTTCTATTGTTGTTGAGGTCCAGCTTTAGTGCATGGTGGTCAGATAGAATACAGGAGATTATTTCAATTTTCTTGTATCTGTTGAGGCTTGCTTTGTGACCAACTATATGGTCTATTTTGGAGAAGGTTCCATGAGGTGCTGAAAAGAAGGTATACTCTTTTGAGTTTGGGTGAAAAGTTCTGTAGACATCTATTAGGTCCATTTGAATTAGGGCCTCTGTAAGTGCCTTTATTTCCCTATTTGGCATCTGTCTAGATTATCTGTCCTTTGGTGAGAGTGGGGTGTTAACATCTCCCACTATCAAGGTGTTGGGAACGATGTGTGATTTAAGTTTTAATAATGTTTCCTTTACAAATGTAAATGTTTTTGTATTTGGGGCATAGATTTCAGAATTGTGATGTCTTCTTGGTGGATTTTTCCTTTGATGAGAATATAGTGCCCCTCCTCATCTTTTTTGATTAATTTTGGTTGAAAGTCTATTTTATTAGATATTAGGATAGCTACCCCAGCTTGTTTTCTGGGTCCATTTGCTTGAAAAACATTTTTCCAGTCCTTTACTCTGAGGTAGTGTTTATCTTTGTTGCAAAGGTATGTTTCTTGGACGTAGCAGAATGTTGGATCCTGTTTCTGCACCCATTCTGTTAGTCTGTGTCTTTTTATTGGAAAGTTTAATCCATTGACGTTGATAGATAATAGTGACCAATGAACGTTAGTTCCTTTTATTGTGGAGTTGGTGGTCTTACTGTGATTCATTGCTTGTTTTCTTTTACTTTTTGTAGGAACATTATCTGTGTCCTATGTTTTCTTGGGCATAGTTGTTTTCATTGGATTGGAGTTTTCCTTCTAGTATCTTCTGTAGGGCTGGTTTGCTGTGTAGAAATTGCTTAAATTTAGTGTTATCATGGAATATTTTGGTTTTCTCCATTTATGTTGATTGAAAGCTTTGCTGGGTATAGTAGTTTGGGTTGGTCCCTTAAAGTTTGCATGACCTCTGCACAGGCCCTTCTGGCTTTTATAGTTTCTGATGAGAAGTCCAGTGTGATTCTGATAGGTCTACCTTTATATGTTACTTGGCCTTTTTCCTTTGCTGCTTTTAATATCTTTTCTTTGTTTTGTGTATTTTTGTTGTTTTGATAATGATGTGACATGAGGATTTTCTTTTATGATCTAGTCTGTTTGGTGTTCTGTAGGCCTCTTGTATGTTTATGGACATCTCTTTCTTAAAGTTGGGGAAATTTTCTTCTATGATTTTCTTGAAGATATTTTCTGGATGTTGGAGACTGGAATCTTCTTTTTATCAATTTCTATTATTCTTAGATTTCACCTTTTCATGGCATCTTTGATTTCTTGGATGTTTTGTGTTTGGGACTTTTCCAATTTTACCTTTGCTTTGAGAGAAATATCAATTTCTGCGAGTATATCTTCAGCACCAGAGATTCTCTCTTCCATCTCTTCTATTCTGTTGGTGATGCTTACTTTTGTGGTTCCTGATTTTTCTCTAAGTTCTCTAGCTCTAGGGTTTTCTCTGTGTTTTCTTTATTGATTTTAATTCTATTTTTTATGTCTTGCGCTATTCCTTCATCTGTTTGAATGTGGCTTCCTGTTTCTGTATCATGGCCTCTATTTTTTTTTTTTTTGTTCCTTTCTTCTCTATATGCCACTAATTTTGCCTCTACTTGTCCCTCTATTTGTTTGGCTATATTTGCCTGTGTGTCTTTGTTCAGTTCCTCTTTCTTAGCCTCCACATGGAAGGTCAATTCTTTGAGAGATTTGTTCGTTTCCTCTTTAACTGTCTGGATTTGCTTGGCTATTTCTCTGACAGATTTGTTTGCTTCCTCTTTATGTGACTCTAAAAACTGGATAAGCATATCTTTAAGGTCATTTTTCTGTGTTTCTGATGAATTGGAGTATCCATTGTTTTGGGGAGTTGCTGGTGAAGCCATGATTTCCTAGGTGTGTTCTTTCGCCTACTTCTGGCCATTTGCTTAACCATAATCTTCACTGTTTGTTCTTGGGTTCTGCAGTTCAGATTGGTACCGTCTTTCTCTGGCTCTGGAGAATTCTTCAGGGAGATGAGAGAGGTCCAATGGTTTCAGTGTGTGTGTTGGTACTTCAGCTGTACCTGTGGGAGGGAAGTCGGAGGGCACAGAAGGACAAGTGTGAGGGAGTGTGTGCATGGAAGTTTGTGTGCATGGAAGTTTGTGTGCATGGAAGTTTGGAGTGAGTGTGTGGAAGTTTGCCTTGAGGGACAAGGTGCTAGAGAATGTAGAGGCCTTCAGTGTGAGGGAGAGGTGCCTTGTGGTCACCGAAGGGGTTGTGAGCATTGAAGTTATCGCATGATTGCGTGCGCAAATTCTCTGACTACGTCAGTGGCCTACAGGCTACTAGTGATGGTCTCTAACTGAGCTCCAGGAGTTATTTGCCTAAACTCCACTGGTCGCTCCACAGAGCCGGGGCTTTCTCATCCCAAGAAACCCTCTGTTTCCCACAGTGGATGTGTGGGTGGGAGATTTCTGATATCTGACTGCTAGCTTAGAAGCACCATGAATCTGGGGCTCTGCAGGCTCTTGGGGGCTCACTCACTCTCTAGCAGGTCCAATCGAAATGCACAGGGGTTCCTCCTCTTCTCTACTGGCAGGATTGGACCTGCTGAGCCAAATGTTCTCTCAGACAGCTCAGCGGTGTTGCAGCTGCTGCACCCGGGAATCCAGTTGCAGCTGCAGAACTGGGGTGTCTATGTGCCTGCCAGGAAGCCTTGGGTAGCCGCTGCCATGGCTCAGCACTTGGTGCCCTTGGGCAGTCTCACAGCCTGCTGTGCTGTCCCCACTGAGGGACTGAGCAGCTTGAACAGTCAGGCTCTGTGGAGTTGATAAGGTTGGATGCTCGAAGGCGTGGAACCCTGGAAGGATTATATTGCGGATCTCGGGCTCGGGATGCAGGTGATGCTGGCTGCTGAGGCTGCAGTGCTAGTTTTCCTGCCTCTGCTGTCTCGGTTCTCAGGCAGCAAGATGTGTGCTGCCAGTGCTGTGGCCCGGCCCCTCCGAGGGGGAGGGAGGCCCAAAGAAGGGAAGTGCCCCTCTCCATTCACAGAGAAGTCCGCATCTGACCTGAATCAAAAAGTTCTCTGCTCCTGTGGTGTCCCCCTCCTTCAGGAAGCCACAATGTCAATTTTCTGATTTTAGTTGCCCCTCTACTCACCAGTTTTGGAGTTTCAAATCCTCTGCCTTTCATAAATGGTGTGTGCTGATCACACACCATCACACACGCCATCTTGGATACTCCCTAATTGCTGTTCTTAATAAAGTATTTCCTCGTGTTCTGGAGATGGCTCAGTGGGTATAAAG